CAATCTAGTATTCCAAATACGAACGTTCCATCTCGATAGAATGTCGTCTGCGAAGGGTTAAATCATTTTGTTCCGCAATACCGAACTTCGCGAACCGAAGACGAACGAGGCGCGAAACTAGCGTGCATTCGGAGAAAAGGGGGGTGGTAATGGAAAAATGATGGATAACCGTCGACAGTGATCAATAGTTGGACAGCGGATGCGTGCGGGACCGGAAGCAGGACGAGATGGTTGGCCCGAGGCGGTACATTTCAAGGCAACGTAGACTATTTCAGGGTGAGGCTCGCGTGCACGCAACCCTTCGCGCGTAGAACTCGAGACACCAGTGACAAAGGGAAGCTATCCGAACGGAGTGGTCGAAGGATCGCGGTTCGCTTGATATTTATCGAAGCGCGACGGTGTGTAGATATTCCCGTGGAACTCAGACGCTATAAATCGCCGCGATAACCCCCGCGGAGTATTTCGGTGCTAAGGCGAGACTAAGTGAATGATTATCCGAAATGTATTCGGAAATTTACGACTGCACATAAGTGCAATGAGTAAATTACGCGAACAGTTCGTGTAGTTACTGCAACGTTGTTCCAGTCATTCTTCACCTCATCGTTCCTCTAACATCATTTAAGTAACGTGGTCTCCTTAGATCTAATTATACCTTTATCGCCTCAAGACAGTTTTATAATTGAGACTGTGTTTACGTCAATATTGTTGTTAATATTATTTCAAATACATAGCTGAACTTGGGACCATATCAGAATTAATCGTCCTTTAACCCTTTGCGAATGAATGTCGACATTCCGGCGAGAAAATTTCATATTTGAAGACTAAATCGCAAACATATGATTTAATTACTCGAACAGCAAGAGATCAGTTAGTTTCCTCTTTTTTGTTAATTAAGTAATTGATATATAATTTAGCTTCATCTATATAGTTAACTAACCTATATATTTCGCATCTATGCTAACGATTCGATAAGCAAACCCGGATGATGACGATTTTAAGAACAGATTAATTCGTTCGAGAGCGATTGATAAGAGAGTTTCCCAAGGTTCTCGAACGAGGGATTCGCTATTGTTCCAACTGAAAATTCCCCGAAAATTAGCAACGCAACGCAACAGAGCTAGGACTCGCTCGACGAAATAGAACGTGCCAGTTTCCTATCGAGCCGCGAGCGTACAGTTGTTTCGAGAGGCCTTCGCGTGCGAACACGCACCAGCCGATCCGAAGGAGCATTTCGTTCGGTCTGCGCAATTAACAAGAAATTGCGGGAGGGGAATTTTACCGGGTCAGAGTAATTTCATCGGTGGGACGGACGAGAGCCAGAAGAATAAAAGAATTTCCAGCCGGCGGACCGTATCTTCTCGTATCCGGATTGTTGTGTAACGAGCGCCGCTCCATATCGATTCCGTGCAATACGAATGAATGAATGAATGCTGGGAATCGAGTAACGTCGCGCTAACTGAAATTACGTTCCCGCGAGCACGGGGCTAGAACGATTACGAATACCGATCGATTGTTTACTTTGCTACCCCCGTTTCCTAGAAAACATGGGTTTCCAGAAAATCAGCCGGGAAAATGACGTTCGCCGTTCGCACACGAAAGCACTTTCCTTTCAACCCGCGCGGATTCTTGGAACGTTCTGGCGTGAGAAAGCCGATGGAGCAGGACACAGCCGGGGCATAGGTATGCGGCAAAATGGCCGCATTTAACGCGCTGATTGCCACGGCGGTCACCGGTGACCGGAGCATTCGAATTACAAGACAACTAATGTCGAATACAAACGTTCAGTAATATAAATAACCAGATAATAGTAACGTAAGGATTACGATACCAAATTATTCATAATTCTTCGTTTTAAACTTTGCTACAGAAAGAGTGACACGTAAAACTGATGTTCTTCGTGGCAGTCAACGTGTTAAGTATTCTTCCAACGAAACGACGCCGTCTGATTAAAACGATGAATATTTATTAGTGACCAGTGGCGATCCGCGAGACGCGATTAAAGCGGCGCCGAAGGAAACAATAAATGGATCACGGTCCGACGACGAACGCGTTCGAGGGAATCGTTAGAATTTCAATCGGAACGTTCCAACGTTTTCTCCCGTTATCGGATCGCGCGGAGTTTCGGGAAGTTCGGGGAAACGTCCGGCGTAGTTACGATCGGGGCCGATGGTTGCCAAAAAAGATGAACTCGCGGCGGGGCACGCGATAATGAATCATATTAAACCCGCCGGAGCGGGCCATGCAAATGCACGACAGCGATTTACCACTTTTTAGGCATGTAAATTCCTTGAACCCACCCAACAATAGCGTGCAACGCGGCAAGGTAAGGTTGCAGCCCGGTGAAAGGAGAACGGGAAACGGTGACGCGAGGTGACTCGGGGGAATAGCTGGGTGGCAGGAGGCGAAGAAAAAAACGGCAGTCCATTATGTGGATCTATTTGTATTACGAAATCATTCTGTCAACACGCCGGCCGAGGAATCGATGTCAGGGCTGTCCGACAGCGGTGAACGTCGATAAATTCACCGCGGTTCCGAAGCGATCGCGAGCCACCGAGGACGCTGCAACCCCTCGCCGGTCTCCGTGAAATCGTGAACTTAACCCTGAACCTTTGGAACGACGAAACATCGTAAAGAAATTATAATACGCCTGTGACTATCGCTGATTTCCGCATGTTCTGTCTTCAGTGTTTAACCTCCTCAAGGAAAGAGTTTTAACGTGTACGCTGTTCATTCGCCAGAACAATTATCTCGGTAATAAGATTTCGATCAAGCTACAAAGGGTCATTCGGATATCCTAGCATTAAAATTCGATAAAATTACAGCAGAGTTAATTAAAATCCCACGAAAATTGGAAGGAAACTCTATTACCGTCGGCGACCATTGAAAAGCGTTTAACTACCGATCCAATCAGAGAAATGTCCTTCCCGAGAGAAACGAGTGGCAATAGGGTAGCTTTGTTCCAGGAAAGAATACTGATTCGGGGAAACACAGGAAGCTAGCGATGGGTGTAACGACGGACGGGTAGGATGTCCTCGATCAATCCCAGCGCTTTCTCCGGTCCGTGGAGGGAATGTTCGCGAGAATCGTCGCATCGTGAGTCCTAACGAAATTACGAGCGTGCCGTTTCGCAGCCCTTCGATGCATACAAATGGCCATTCGGAGACAGAGCGGCGCTGCTCGGAGCCGTGAAAGCTCGCGAGAATGGGGTTGATTTGTTCCTTCCTTGATGTATGTGTGTCGATGGACGGTATCGTAACGAGGCGGGGCTCTCCCCAGCCGCGACCGGCGCTAGGGAAATTCTCATTACGCGCTGGGAAACGGTTGGAAATGTTCCAAACGAAACCGCCGTGAACTTGTCGCCACCCTAACACGGCCAATACACGTCCCTCCCCCTGAAACCGGCCCGTTCCGTTTTGTTCCGCGAAAACTCGCGGCGAGCCGAACTTTCCAGGAAATTAAGCACTCGCCCCCTCTGTCCGATGATTTCCGCGGACGCGTTATGCTGGCCAGCTTTATTTTCATGCCCAATTACCGCGGACGCGGTCGTCTTTCGTTAACGCGCGGCAAATGTTGCGGCAAAAACACGCGACGCGTCGCCGTTCTTGCGAGAAATTGCCCATCGATCTATGAATACCCTTCCACCTCTGTCTCTGTCGCTCTCTCGCCGGCGCGTTCTATTTTTCTCCTATTTTTTTCATTTTTCACATTTTTATATATCACGTGTCGGCGATATCGGAAATTTTGTACCTGGATCGTAGCGAATTTACGAGGTGTCTTCGCGGGTGCTGCGCAAGCTGCCCGGAAGTTCGTATCGAAATCTCCGGAATAAAGGGCGGCGAACGTTACCCGGTGTCCCATGATTTCGGGAAACGGCGAAGTTCGGGATTTCTCGACTGGATCTTCGAGGATTGTCGTTCCTCGCGTATCCTGGGAACAGCGGGCTCATCCATAAAACAGAAGCTGGGTTCGTTTGGAACTGGGCTGGCCGGTTGGACGTTGCAGCGAGGGCGCAACCGACTCTCTCGAGGTTAACAAAACAAAGTCCAACCCGTTTACATTACGGTTACTCGCTCGCCTCGCTCACGCCACGGTACGGCACGCCGTTTCTGTGTATCGCGTTGCGGGGCTCGTCAGCTTCTGTGGTATCGATTGGCAAAGTCTGACCTAACACTGACACACTTCACTCGCCAAGTCTGACCTCTGTTCCGTATCGACCATTCCCATGTAATCTTAGGATTTCCACGATTCATCGTAGCGGAGAACACTTTTGCCGGCCATTTTCGGGATTAAGCTGCCGCCGACGCGGCCGTCCCGTCGGCTTCGATTATCGACGACACGACTCGCCGACGCCGCACGCCACGCGTTTCCTACGTGCGAAGTCGGAGGGACGGCGTCGGGCGTTTCGCCGGCTACGGTCGACGTTGATCGGATCGACTTAAGGACGGGATGAGACGGATGAGAAAGTTTGGTGAAATTTTTCATTTCAACCGGCTAGAGATACGAGTATCCATTCCCCGCGGCGGAGGATCGATGGCGCGTACGTGCGACGAATTTGTTGAATATTTCCTCCTAGATTCAAGGGATTTCTCCAACTACCATAAATCGTGATTTTCTCTCCCTCCTGTCGATGGAAACCGTGTTTTCGCGCTTCGCGCGTGGGATGCTCGCTGGCGCGTCGCTGTAATCGCGATTGAAGTCCTTGTGATTCAAAGGTTGAACGTTTGAAAGAGTTGAAACCCGAAGGACCACGGAGAGGAGAGTAAATACGGAGGAACCTTCAATTGTCGGATTGAAAAGCACCGCGAGACGCTTTCCCGATTGAAATCCCGAGGCCTACAATAACGGTGTATGTTTATAAAGCTGCCGCGGAAACGTTGCTTTTAACGTATTGGAAGGAACCAGTTCCTCTATTTCGTTTAGTCGTGTATGCACCGGTCGATCGGCCCCACGGATCCGGTCCTGCACTCGGCTAATGGAAACCGGCTTTCTATGTTTTCCAGCCCACTAACATGTGCTTCGCCCACAATGGTGGAATCTTGGGGTCCTGGAAGGACCGGCACTCCCCCGCCCGCTCTTCCACCCCCGTCGGCTGGGAGCAACAATGGTGCAACGTCTGCAGCGACCGCGAACGTTGCACAGCCCAGCACCACCGCGCCGATCGCCAGTCCAGAGGGTGTGAGCGACGTAAGTATCGAAGTAAAAGAGAAAACGATTCGAGAAATCCGGTAGATAGTGATGTAAATATTTAACTATTAATTGCATGGCAAGTATTCATGCTACAAGAAGGTATTTCAATAGATTTATTAGAAATCGATTGATTCCAATAATTTTTTATTTTGATAATTATAATGTTATTGTAACTAGGAGAAGAAAAAGAAAATTGTCTGTATCTTTGAAGATATTAATTTTTTAATGTATATTTATTGAAACTTTGTTCATTATTTACCGAGTGTTATCTGCCGTACCAATTGCGCATCCTTTTTCGTATTCGCTCTGCATATCCCATCGAGCGCAAGATTTTAGTGATAATGCAGTGCCAAGACGATTCGCGCGCGAGTTAATTCGCGCAATTAAAATCCGCACAGACGCGTTCCGGATATCGAGGGTTAAACCACCCGTAACGCCCGCTCCTTCCATCCGTTTCAATTACCCTAGCAACCCCGATGATCGAACGTAATGGATGCTGGCCGCGGTATCGAGCCAAGGCTAATAGAATCACCGGAACGTATCTGAAATTGTCCATTTCCAGCGGATCCCGTGAACTTTAGACTCCCGTAGATCCTGCCGACTTCGAAAATGCTCTCCTTGATCCATTATCCATGATATATTAGTACTTGAACTTCTATAATCCCTCTGCGGAGTCGATGATTCTCAAACGTCTTCCTGAAACGTCGTTATAGAGCTCATCACTTTCACTGCAACATTCACAGAAGAGATCACGACTAACAGCACTAATTTTCTGAATATTCATTCAATCGTTTATAACGAATTTCTCTTAAAACACATCCATTCCTTCGCATACTCTTCTATTAAATCCTTGCAGACGAACGTTGACATTTCGGACAGATGAAACGTTCACATTTGAAATACTAAGTTGCAAACGAATGATTTGATTACTCGAACAGCAAGAGATTGCTGTGTAATTCCCTTTTTTTCTATCGTTTAAGCATTCGATTTATAATTTAGCTTCACATGTTGCAAGCTTTCTGTACTCTCAAGACTCTTCGTCCGCAAAGAGTTAATATCAAAAACGATAACAATGCAACGGTCTCCTTTGATAGTAGCTCAAGTATCAACCCAATTTCACGTGAACGACAGTCGAAGTCCCTAATCAGAGCAGCTACGGCAAACTGACACAAGATTTTCAGGAATCCCTCGTAAAGCAAAGCGCAACGGATCGTTTAGCCGGGTCGTCTCAAGTCCCATGCGCGCCGGCGAAACAATATCACCTCCCATCGGCGAGCCTTAGCCTTAAACCATGCCCTCAACCCCGAACACGGCTCCGTCCCACCCCTCGAGCCCTCGGTAAATTCAGCCTGATCGCGTGCACTCGCTTCAAAACACGTCCGGTATCGATCGTGTGTCGTAGGAGTGTACGCGATGCTAACGATATTCCAGCCGGCTGTCACGTGAAACGGAAGTCCGAGTCAAGGGTAGCTTTCTGTGTGTGTATGTGTGTGTGGCACACGTATGCATGCAATTTTTACGTGTCTGTCGCGAAGCTGTAGTTCTTACTGCATGGTGTGCCGTTACGGTACGTGTACACCAACAAAAATGCACTTTTAGTCTTCACTCTCGACAAGTTCGGTGTGAACGGCACCGAATCGTTCGCTACGAGCGAATATTCACGTAAGACTCGATGCACACGGTTTTTCGTCATTCTTTTCCGCCGCTTTTGGCATCGTTCTCTTTCATATTCGCTGGTGCAGCGTTATCGGAATCTGCAGTGACACACGGTAGAAAGTCGCAACGCAATTTTATTGATTTCGAACGTGGACGTTGAAAAGATAATACCGATTCATTACATATCGATAGGGTAAAGTTCATCTGTGATTCGCCAGGAACGAACGAGTGCTCGTTCGTATATCAGTCTTCCTTGAAATTGCTATAAGAACGAGCGTTCGTTTGATACGGGCGCATTACACGTCGTCGTTTATGATTCTTCCAGGTCTCCCAAAAGTCCGGCATTTGGGAGGGCGGAAACTTCTCGTCGGCCGGCGGTGGCGCGGAAGGCCCGTCGCGGAGCGTGTCGCACGCGGCGAGTTTGGACGCGATCTCGAGGAGAACGGTGAAGCCGGAAGCGGCGAGGACGCCGTGTCGCAGTCTCACCTGCAGCGTTTGTAAGTAGACACTGTGCCTCTCCGATCCGCCGTGATACTTGCTCGTTCGCTCGTCTCTTTTTACCATCTGTTTTTTCGTGTTCTCGGTACTTTCGTGGGTTGCCTTTTGTCGTATATATACATACATTATTATATATGCCTGTACATATAATACAGATATATATTATATATATGTATGTATATTTATATATACATTAGCCCGAGCTTTTTTCTGTGGAACGGCGATTTTGTTCTTTTTTCCTGTTTTTTTTTCCTTTGGATGACCGGTACAACGTTACGTGTATACTACTTAAATACGTAGGTGTTGCATTTTGCGCTGCGTGTGATATTCACCCCTTTCCGTTTGCCCGCGATCGCACGAGGACGAGAGACGGGATCGCCTCGTTCTCGGGACG